CTGCCTACAGTTAACATCTATAATTACTAACATTAGTATACATAAATACTTAATTAACTAAACAGGAGGTAATCAAAGCATGTTATGATTTTTTAAACTGCAGAGCTGTAGGTTGTAGATACCTGCTCTAAAGCCAGAGAATATACCCTTGATGCTCCCCAGAAGATGTCTATCATTCCAAGATCCGAGCAAGATCTTAAATTGGACTATATTCATCTACAACCTGGAGCTTTAGTCAATTTGTTATTATATTTACATCATACAAATTCAAAATATTTGACTCAAACAGATTTGTCACTGTCTATAAATGCCAATAAAGGGAGTGATGAAGAACTTTGCTTCTTTGACATTTAATCAACTCTGATGTAATTCCGACTTCTGCAGCATAACACAATTCATTATTCACAGTCTTTCCCCATCTAAATCCTTTTTCCAAACCAAAAATATGTTGCACCTGGGCTAATATCTGAGGCACAATTTGTGAAATTTTGTTTTAACTTAAAATAGAGTTCCAGAAAGCACATCTAATTAAGAATATCAGGAAGGTAGGTGTAGACAGTTGCATGTAAAGTATGTTCTTTATTCTCTAGCATGCCTTCAAATTTGTATTTCCTTGTTTGAAAAACACATGTCAAGATTGACTGTCCAGAGTTTTGACCACGGTCCAAATGACCACTGTGTGCAAACAAATTCAAACAAACACTATTTCAAACCATGTACAAATACATGCAACAATACGACAACAGTTATTAGTGTAACATTGTGGATATTTTTACCTGCAGTTTTTTTCCTTTACTTTTATTTGTACTATATACAGTATATATGCATAATTCCATCACATCCATTATATTTGCATCACTAAGCATCCCGAATCAATAAAATAAAAAGCTTTGTTCCAAAACATATGAGCCTTTTCACCACCTGCATTACTTTGGGACATGAAATAGAATCTACTTTTCAGCAAAGCCAGCAATTATATATTATAATTATTTTTACACAGCTGTTAGACAAGCACAAAGAAACAGCGTCAAAAGGCAGCTTTCCAAAAAAAAAAAAAAAACACACAGCAAGGATACGTTAATATAGAAAGCACAGCAGTTTATTTATACCCTGCTGGCTTAAGTAGGAAGCTTTTTGACACCATAACTGTTTAAAAACGTTTTAAGGGACATCATTTTATGATAAACAAACAACTTTTATTCATAAGGGTAAAAATATTAAAGTTGTTGTAACTCACTACTTGGAAAACATCTCAATTTGGAATTTTTTTATGATTTCTGAAAAATCATTTCACAAGCGTTATTTTGGATTTATCAACATACAGTAATGCCAGACAGCCTCAAAGCTGAATGTCCAAAATTTTTGTTTGTCAATTTCTGTAACAATTCAATGAATTTGTTGATCCAAAAAAGGACTTGGATGGAGATGATTTTTTTCCATTTTATGCCCAAGGAGCTTATTTTTTTCTGTAAGGCAACATCTAATTATTTACTGGTGACACAGCAGCCTCCTGATAGAAAAAAAAGCCCTTTTCATCTCTAGCACAGAGCTGGCCTGGCCTTTTAATGTTAATGAGTTACCCACTGCTATGCTGCATAGGGCCAGTCCTTGGTCATTTGGAGAGGAATAAAAACATATTTCTAAGCAAAGCACTACAGAGCCATAAGAGCAGTGCATAAGAGTGCTGTCTTTGGACATGTCTTTTATTGAGCTAACACCTCTGTGCACCAGACTGAGCTGGGAATTAATACATCAATCAAAACTTCAATCAACGTCTGATCTTTCAGTTTCAAACACTTGGAGCCCATCACTAAATATAAATCATTAAAATATCAGTAGAAACATGCATAAAACAGATGTGTAATTTTAAGAAAGATTTCAGGCTGAGATGAAACTAAAATGTTTATACTGATCATTGCATTTATATATTTTTTCTGGTTGAAAGACCCATGCATTGATTTATCTCTTGAAATTGCCAAGCTCATTGTTTAAATATAATTTATTTAAAACCTGAATATTCCAGGTGTGTGAATATATTTGAGCTTAACCTTTTTTTTTATCTTCTATGAATGGAGATTGCATTGATTTCCCCACGGCATGT